GTGTTAAGTGAATGAAGTGGCATGTGTTGAGTATGTGAAGTAAATTGTTCAGCAGTGGAGCTGCTTGTACTTCGAACTTAGGTAGAATTTCAATTGGAGTCTGAAAATCAAATAATTTTGATGTTAGTCACATATTTGGCACTACACAGGAATTTGTGCGCTTACCACCGTTGGAATATGTCGATGCGCACAAGAGTTGTAGCTTAAGTACAAGATTTCTTGAATGAAACTAATAAGTTAATTGAAGGGAATGTAAGAACGACATGAAATATATTATGAAATCTTCTTATATTTATTTAAAATAAGTGTCATAAACCAATATGCATAAATTTTCTATTTTACATACTCTAAAAACATTCAGTGCAAATAAGAGTTTTATTACATGTATGTCAGTATGTGTTGCATAGGGGAGGTGCCCACCAAGCAATCCCTTATATTTCTATGCATTAGAAAATTTACTTTGTTTCTAATGCTTTTGAAAACTATTTATAGTAATAAAAACATCATCTCTCTTCTATGATCATATGAAAATTATAATTTGGAAGATACTACACCAAAGTAGTATGTCACTATGTGCAAAGAATACAAAGCATGCAATTCTTATAAAATGGAATGATGCCTTGAATTTTTTATAAAATGCATATAATTCTTATAAAATAGAATGGTGCTTTAATAAATAAATAAAACAAATTATATGTTTTTTGTCCTTTGTAGTAGAAATATTGTCAAGTTTGATTGAACAAACTATTTGAAGCTCTAATAATCTAAGTTACAAAATAATTAATAGTCCTTGTTAATCTATAAAATAGTAGCTAAATGACAAAGTCATTATACATCTATTGGACACCAATATTGCATCTAAATGTAGCATTAGCGCATGTAATTTTTAGATATTTTAATAAATTCAACTTTTTTTATAGTCACTTATTGTAATTGTTACAATTAACATTAAAAGAATTTAAGTAATTTAATTGATTAATTTTAAATTTTAAATGTATAATATTTATATATTTATATATTTATATATTTATATATTTATATCTACAAACATACATACATACATTACACAATAGATTAATACTATTTTAGTAAAAAAATTGTTAATTTTTAATTAAATAATAAGTATATTAAGTATATTAATTTGTTAATAGAAAACCTAATAAAATATGAACTAAAATTTTGTATAATTGTTTATTAATACTACAAATACAAAGTAGATATTTTATTTTATTATATTATATTGTAAAATTTCAAATACTTAATATATCAACAATTCAAATGCAAATCTTATACTATTATTGATAGTATAAATTTTTTATATAGGTATTATTATTATTATTATTATTATTATAGATAATATTAAATACCAATGTTTCAGTTTTTTCAAGAGCCATAGATGATAGTTATTGCATAGTGAAAATATAATATAAAGTATTTCATTTTATTTAGTTTTTTATATTTTTTTTTAAACTAAAAATAATGATATTTTATCTAAGCTATTATAATAGTCAAAAGCAAGAGACAATGAATTGAATAGACAACACTACGCTTATAGTAATAGTAGAAAGAAATTATAAATTAAGGTTAAGACTACAAGCACACCCTAAGTTGATATACACACTTCATATTACTATAAACACACCTAAAAAATGTAGAGGCTTGTGATTGGTTATATATTTTTATGTGGAGGTTAGGAGGAACAATAAACTTCCCTGCATTGGTTTTATTGATAGGTCAACAACCAAGATCAAGGGGCAGTACTCCTTGTAGGGGCCTCTAACGATAGAGTCTCCAAAAGAAAATTTGAAATCTACACTTTGTACTAGTGGTACCTTGTGAAACCAAAGAACTCTATCTCCTCAATAACTTCACCAAAAAAAGATCCTTGCTTTATATTCACTTCAATTATCTTCAATATTATGCCAATTCTCATGGTAGTGTCAATAAACAACTTCAAGCACATATCTTTAGCCATTGAGGACCAATACTTGGACCTTAAGTAGAATCCAACCAACTAACAATTGCCGATGATATCAAAACCATGTAGAGGGATTCCTATGTGCAAAGCATTAGGGATTTCATCGACTTCAAAACCAAAAAAAAATCAATTCATCATTTATTTGTAAATCTCATTATATCATTTTATTTGTCATAATGAGGATGGATAAAATATTAATTATCAACAATGGCCAAAGAGGCCATCCATCACCAGACACATAATTCATACTAAATTAGAAGTGACTTCTTGTGTATCACTTGTTGTCTCACAAGTGATTGTCATTGCTCTTCGAACATGTTAGAGATAGAATTTTAGTGCTTGAGTAGAATAACATCTTGATAGAAAGTCTACACTTTTTTAGTATACAAAACTCATTTGTGCTAAAAAGTGTAAACAACAAATAGATTATGTCACTATTCAATATATACATTTGTATCTACAAGAATTGAACTTTATATATATATATATATATATATGTAGTTATATTTTTTGTGCTTTAGGTTGATATTGTTAAAAATTCACCAAGTCAATAAGAAATAAATACAAAGCTTTAAACCAATAAGTAGATTATATTGCTTAAAATTGTTCATTGATACTGCCATGAGAATTAGAAAGATGTTGCAGATTATTGAAGTGAATACATAGCAAGGATCCTTTCTTGGTGAAGTTATCCATGAAGGAGAGATCTTTGCTTTTACAAGGTATTACCAATACAAGGTATAGATTTCAATTTTTTTTTGAGGATTCTGTCTTTGGAGGCCTTTGCAAAGAGTGATGCTCAATCTTGCCCACCGACTAGTCCATGGGACCATGGGAGGGAGGGTTGTCACCCCTCCAAATCTCCTTGTAGTTCTCCGAAGTGGCAAGGTCTATATTAAAATATTTACGAATCACAAGCCTTCACGTTCTTTAGATTTGTATATAGCAATATGAAGTGTGTATAGCAACTTAGAATGTGTTTGTAATATAAGCAATAAATAAAAGAATGTATACACATAAATTATTCTTTTGCACGATTTGTCATATTAAGTAACAATTTGCTACACAAAATTTTAAAAATAATATATAATAATAGATTAATTTTAACTATATTTCAATATTACACTATTATAAAATATTATTTTTTATATATTATTTATATTATCTTCACAAATCTTATAAAAAAAAAATTAATATAAATTTGTTCCTATAAGACTCTTAATTTAAAATTTTAAGTATTTAGCTAAATTAAATATTTTAGTATATTTTGAAAAAATATTAATATACATAATATGATGCATGAATTTAGTAGATTAAATAGATATAGTTCTTATAGGTTTTTTTTTAATATTCTTTAATCATTTTTTTTCTTCTTATTATCTTTTTTTTACAATAAGCAATAGAGTATATAATTGTGATACTATATTACTAAAAAAAACATTTAGTCATTGTTTGTATTGTATTACAAGATACAATAATATAAATAAAAGAGTTCTTCAATGATACAAAAGATGCATAAATACTCAACTATCTAAGAATGTTAATTTAAGGCACAACTTTGCTAAATAACTTCTAAATTAATTGAAGTCTAATTACATATTTAATCTAATAAAAATAAAATGTAATAGAGAAGCAACAAATATATTGTTGTTTATTGATAAATTTAACAATATATATAAAGATGAAGAAATCAAGATAATAGAATAATTATATTATTAAAAAAATTGAAGAAATAAAATAATTGAAATAGAAGAAAGTAGAAAAAAGTAGAAACACATTAAATTGCCTCTTACAGTAAAGAATTAGATGTTACAAGATTTAAATTATATACAAAGTTATTTATCCTATAAATCAAGATGCATTAACAAAGATCCTTTTAATGAAATAGTATGTGATATATATATATATATATATATATATATATATTACATGTTTTTTAAAAATAAAACATGCCCTTGTAACAAAGGATAAATTTTATTACAGCAATCATAAATTTAAGATTCATAAAATTTATTTGTTTAGTTACAAAACTTTGATTTGCATTGTATTCTTTGCTTCAAGATTTAATAGAAACATTTTATAATTTCTTTGTACCTTTGTATATATAATTGTAAGTACAATACACCAATTACATGACAGAGTTAATAACACATGTACATCTTCACCTACAAGTACCAGCAATATCTGTGAATTTCAAAATACTGTATAATACACATGTGCCCAAATGTCTCTATCAAGAAAAACCTGTACACATTTGAATTATGGTTAATGATTATGGTATTCCTAGACCAAATAGTTCAGAAATTTATGCTTGTATCTACAATGATCTACTTTTTTGTTATTTATGCAACCAAAAATGTGATCCAGAAGCATTTGCAGTTCTATCATCATTAATACACCTGTAAGGGTTTTCCATGTTATTTATTTTTTCAATTTATTATTTGTAAATAAACGTGTAAAAGAATGCAACTAATTTATATCCATAGCACTGCATGTACAAAGTCTGTAATTCTTCAAATATATACTCACAAACAAATAAATACCCTGTAAATGTTTCTCATACATGTTGACAAAATTTTCTATATATATATATATATATATATATATATTTTAGGTGTAAAATATTACCCTCCATCTCCGTTTTACTACATTAATGTTTAGTTGAAGGATTGTTTAATAGCTCAAAGAGTTGTATCATTGCCAAAATCTAATAGGTATAATGTGTGTAAATACCATCCATTTGAGTCCAACCAAATAGAATGATTACAGAACGCAAACGAATTCGCGCACATCGGAAACCATCGCTTGCCATTTACACGTCTGGTTTTTTTGATGTGCGATGTCATAGAATTAGACATTCATTACATGAAGAACTGGTAGGAGTTATATTTCACTTGGAGGATGCAGGTTAAAACCCTTTCGCCCCAAGTTAGATGTGAATGAAGTCGTGAATGGAGGAGCAGCAGAAACATGAAGTATGGCAGCATATGTCATCTTTCCTATTTCCATATGAGCAGAAATGTATAATTAAATATGTTTTAAAATTCACTTTTAAAATCCAAAAGTTCAGTCATAAATTATCCCGCAATCAATGTTTTCCTCTGAAGCTAGGAGATTTAGGCAGTGTGAACATACGCTGGTGGTTATAATGCCTGGACTATGGGTATCATGGATCTGATCGTTGAGAAATTTGTATTATATAACCTTTCTGAATGTCGCGGGCTCATGAAAAGCCCTTCTGCCTGATGGGCACACGACATATACAACCGGATGGTGTGAACCTCGTGCCATATGTTTCTAAAAATCCAAGGTGTTTGCCAACCTCCGGGGTCGAGCAGACACCAAATCATGTTAAAAAGTGAGCTCAGAGCTCCCACTCTTTTGTAATGTTGCGGAGGTTGCAACCAATCGTCGTGTTGCAGAATCCACTGAGACCATCGGATGTTCATGACTAGGTTTGTAAGGAAGGAACCTGCAATCATTACGCCAGGTGAACTTGTCGCGGAAGTAGCTAAATTGAATAGCCATTAGGAATAGCTGCAGGGAATAGAGCTGCTGAAGAGGCCTAGTTGATGGTGGTGAGGGGAGTGCGAGAGTCTCGGAAGGAGGCTTCAACGGATTGGAATACTTTGCTAAGTCTATCAGATCCTCCAGCGGCAGTCTTAGCTCGGAATTCATCTAGCAGTACATCAAGAGGCGGAGTGCAGTAAGCGTTAATTGAAGACTGAGTAGGAACTTGAATAGGCCTTCTCCGAGGAGTTGAACATGTGGGTTCATCCACCTGCGTAACCGAGGTTTACCATTCACCAACGTCAGTGAAAACAGATCCGACATGTGACACAGCAGACACAGACGTACGTAATCAACACACAGCGATTCTCCTACACATATGGCATAAAGGAATGAAACAATGAAGCTCAAAGCAGAAGCATACCAAATACTCTTCTCTCAGATAATGGTCTGTGTGCGTTTGAACAGCAGCCACACTTGAGTTATGACTGCTACATAATTCTGTAGCTGCGTTAACCTGTGATGCCATCGTTGAGTGCATTTTTTCTGCTGCTTCATGCTCTCCAGCAGAGGTTCCTGTCAATGAACGGAGTGTATCATCAATTAATAGGTCACTAGTTTATTGTCCTACACAACTACAAAGAATGGAATAGAAGAGGAGTCTATTAAAATTCATCTGCACATTGCATTTGTCACCGTGACAAGCGCTGTACCATTCGAAAAAAACTATGAGTGGATAAAATAGTGGATTTAAGGAGGGATTAGATACCTTGAACGAAAGCCAGTGTGCTGTTGTTTCGGGTCTCGATCTCCAATCGTCCAGCATCTTCAAGTGCTTGAATCTTGATCAAGAGATTTGTATTCGCATCAAGGCCCTCCCTGACGATCAAGAATTTTTTCAAAAAATTAACGAGTATTACAGAAGGGAAGTGGATCACGTTCAAACGCTAGAAACAATTCTCTAAGATTCGAATCGCTGAGAATTTGCTAACCCGAGAATTGAAGTGACGGCAGTCGTGTGGGAATTCTGAAGCGCTTGGATTTCTTTGCAAGTAAAATCCCATTTTCTGCCGGAAGTTGTGGTATAGTCGGAACTGATGAGAAACAAAAATGCCGTCAGGCTTAGAATTAGCTCAAGTCAACACAAAAATGCTTCACGATTAGAACACACGAACTGAGAACCAAAATACGAGATGAAGAACTAATTACCAGGATTGCAGAATCGCCTCCATTCGAGAAACCCTATTAGCTAACAAAGCTGAATCTTCAACAGAAGATACGTCTGTGGAGGTGATGAAGGCATTAACTTGCCCATTCGCAGTGACAGCTTCGTGCTGAATCTTTTGCAGCCCTTGCTGCACCAAAATAGCATCTTGGCTTGCATTCTCCCTAAGCTTCTTAACACTCGTTTGAACCTAATCTCACATGGTCTCGATGATTAGAAGATATCAAAGTGCAGCGTGATATAGGAGTCACGCATATATCTCGTGCCACAAGCAAGCTCGGTTACCAGATTCGAAAAAAACGTACATCCCGATCACACTTTCCAGCATAACAACTGAAACGCAAGAGTAATTGAAATTCATTACTTACAAGCTGAGTTCGCTTTGACAAGGAACTGGCCAGCATTGCTGTAATGCTTTCTAGTAGTTGAGTGTATTCGTTTCGTGCATGTTCCTGTATACCGACACACGTCACTTCAGCAAACGTACGTGTAACTGCATTAATGTGTATATTGCATAGAATGCTTCCAGAGAAGATAGTAAATTACTTAAATTAAAGAGTGCATATTCAGTGACTAAAGATGTCTGTTGTAAGGTTTCCCGAAAACAGGACGGTGTAATCATTAGCAGCCTGAGGATTACAGCACTGTATCCTGCAAGATAACTACGAGAAAGGTTAACGACCTCATAAGCTTCTGCAAGCTCAAGGAGTCCTTGGTCATGATCCACGCTACTCGAGTTCACGTGCTCTTGGAAGCTAGCAGCATCAGTCTCCATGGTTGACAAAGAAGTGAAGAGAGTCTGTGCTATATTCCGCGCCATCTCCAGACTCCTTTGGGCTACCTGAATATAGAAGATGGATCTCTATTGATCAAGGAATACTTGTAATGCTGCAATACAGTCCGAGGTAAAATGCGAATCACGAATATAATGCTCAACACATAGGACTGAAGTCGACATACCTCGCGTTGTTGTTGAGCAAAGAGGGCCACTTCATGACCTTGAGCAGTGATACATTGCTGCAAGTCACTGAGCACCGCCTGCGAATCTGCTACAGCGCTCACCAAAAGCTGTCGGGATAGAGATAAACATCGCAAGTTAGAGCATCCTGAAGTTACTCATGATCGAAATATTGATACGGACAACGATCATGATTCTTACCAGCAATTGACCTTCAAATAAATACTTTATAAGATAGGAATACCTGCTCAAGAGCTCCAGGATGAGCAGTCACTGTGGAATCTAAGGTCTTGAAAGTGGAGGTCGAGACAACCTCATGTGCATGCACAGCTGAATGGACTGACTGCAATTGAGATAAATAAAGGTCCTTCAGACATTGAAGTTTCTTTATCAGCTCTTCCGCGGCCTGTTGGTGGAATACAGCCTGTCAATAATCACTGTGACCACGACAAAGGAATACATTTTAATCGTACTTACAAAACAGATTATCTTGCAGCCCGAATAAAGTACCTGGTCCTTGGAATTCAGGAAGGACTGCAGTTGTTCTTCCAGGGTCTGCAGTTGCTGCTGCTGGACACCAACTCCTGAAACCACGAGAGTACGGAGTTCCTCCATTTGATCTGTGAGTCCAGTTTGAAAGACGTTTACGAGTTCCTGGTTTTTCATTTCCATCTCCTCTTTCCTCTCTGCGCAAGGGTGAAAGTCAATATGAGAACTGAATAAGTAAGCTTCAACTTCGAGAGCATTTCATTTGGTTCCTCCATGCGAAGCTGTTATTTTAACCCAGTATTCTTAAGTATCGGTAATTACGAACAGTGCACAATAGACCGTACCGATCTTTGCGAACAACCCTGCAACATCCTGGGCAGCAGCCTCCAGCTCCTTCCTTAACTCTGCAGCCCGGTTGACAAGGGATTTCTCTGAAATGTAACAAGTCATTAATTTAGTTGATACGATTACTATCGAAGCTTTTTCCAGACATATTTTCTGACAGAGGAGATCTTGGAAGAGAGACTTGCCTGCTTCTCTCTGATTTGTAATTACAAAGTCACGCTCCCTAATAGCAAAGTTGGCTTGCTTCAAGTTCTCCAATGTTTCGTTCAAGTTCTCTTGTGTGTACTCAAGTGTTTTCTGGACAATGAAAGCATATAAGTGTCATGGACAGGTCAGGGACAACGTACAAACCCATTGGTGAAAACGAAGTGATCAATGATTCTCACTTGTGTACGATCAAGCTTGGCAAGAAGATCCGAATACTGCTGCTGCTGGATTTCGATCGCTCGCTCCGACTCCTCAATTTTCTGCAGCGGAACACAAGATATAATATTCCTTTGATTGATATCTCAACAATGGAACGATCGTCCAACGTCGAGGAAAAAACACGATACCTTGTCTCTGGCCTCCAAATCGAACTCCATGCGCTCTATCTTATCCACCATAGCCTGCGACATGGCAGAATCCAACATAGACCTCTACTTAGTTCCAGAGAGAGTCGGATGACTCAAGCGTAAATTAAAAGCTGGCAACGAAATCCAAATATGCTGATGGCCAAGGGAAATGAAGAAGACTGACCTTTTTCTCAGCTTCCTCTTCAAAGTAACGATCACGTGGAATGTATATACCATTTCTTTCACGAGCAGAATAGACCTCTGTTACGTCTAGAAGACATTAAGTCAGAAAAGTCACATTCCCAGTATAATGCTGCTTGAGAGACGATACCGTATTCAATGAAAGAATCTGATGCATATGGTCCTAAGAGAAAATTTGACCTGATTTGAGGCGCTCTATCTCGCTGTAGAGATCTTTGATATGAGCAGATTTCATCGTTTTCTGGTTCACCTGCACACAAAAGCAAGTCAGTCAGACGAACCAAGTATGCTACACGACAACAAAGCTAGAACCACATAATTGGCAGCCACGAGAATGAGATTTACCTCTGGCTTGTTTTTAATATTCTTAGCGCGATGGGCGTAGTCTAAGGTGCTTAGTGTTTCTTCAAGGCAATGAACGGAGGGCGAAACGGTGGCAATAATGCAGGTCTTTGTCTTTCCTCCCAAAGAATCCCTTAACAATCTTGTCAGCTTGCTATCTCTGTATCCATACGAAGTCAAGAGAAACATTAGGCATACAGTTGAAAATAGAAATAGAAACAATTATAATCAACACAAAACTGGGAAGGAATTTGTCACTCCAGCAAATAGTCACAACAGAGGACAAATTACCTGTAGGGGATATGACCCAAGTGTTCGACCAGAGCTGTGATCACACGTCCGAGAGTAAGAAGACTTTTATTGATTTCTCCAGCTTCCCGTGCCCGATTCTGTGAAGCACATGAGGTAGTTAGTAAAGAAGCTACAAATTTGCTAACCTCTACACTTCGCTCAGGTCATGGCGGCAGGGTCCGATGAAACTTGCTTACATCTTTAGCACCAGAGCGAGATATATTTTCGGATCCAGCCAAATCCACTAAATTCAATTTTCCACACTTCATCAGCTCCTCGCCCTCAGGAGTGGTTTCCTTCATATGGATGGTGATCGAAAAAATGGAGTGAGATCGACTGCAGAAGAAACCCCAAAACTAATTAGGATAACAAATCTCTATTTTCTACCATACATTTAGAACGATTGATATGCATACAGTGTCCTTTCCTCGTGTGAGTATAATCCAGATGTTCCATAATCGGTCTTTACCACACTCCAAGTGCTACTTCAGGGAAGAGTAAGTTAATAACCCCCAATGTAATGACTTCAAACCACTTCTCTATATGCGAATTCTTTCGCAGGACCGCTCAGTTCGAAAAGCTTCAATGAAAAGATTTTGTCCATGATTACAATAAATGTAAAAAACCGCATACCTGGATTGTTTATTCAACAATGTTTCAGCAGTTTGACGCTTGGCCGAACCTCTATCAAGTAGAGTATAAATTTGATTGGCACTCGTCACAATTTCCTCCTCTAGGCCCCTAACAAGAACTCCGCCTTTTCCATCTTCCATAAGAGCCAGTGGCTTCTTGATCTTCTCATCAATTACTACTTTCGAGTACTCTTCAGGTGCCAACAAGTCAGTGAGCTCTTCATTGTAGAGCTCCAGGTAGGTGACCTTGACACTGTACTCTTGATCGTCTCTGTCAAGTGTCTCAAAAATTTGCTGAATGGCACGGGGAATGACACCAGCATCGGGAGGAAGTTCTCCATTCTACAATGGTGACTTGTCGTGAGAGATGGAAAATTTGTCATTTAAGAACTCAAAAAAATATATCCAATCGACAAAAGATTTGTAGGGAAAGGAAGCGACTGAATATTTCTAGAGGTAAAAATAATACTCACAAACATTTAGGACGGCCTACCTTGGACTTCCTTCCTGACCCCTCCATTGTATAAGTTTTTCCAGTTCCAGTCTGTCCATACGCGAAGATAGTGCAGTTGTAACCATCCAAGACCTCGTTAACAATAGGAACGATTGCTTGCTCATACAGGTCTAATTGCCTTGATTGCGGTCCGAAAACCTGAATGGCAGGAAAGATGCAACAAGTAGTGAGAGTCTTCAGACAACCTGGTCGTTGTTTCACAATGGATGATGACACAATCTAAACTCATTTGTTGAAATCGGCGTCAGATTTATTTCTTGCAGATGCAGAGAGCGGTGAAAAACGAGCTATTCAGTCATAGTTGCTAGAGCAATTGTTCCAATTGAAACGCTTTGGCAGAGAATTAAACATGTCAACACTGCCCAGGATTTCAACGGCAGCCAAAGCAAGGGGGTAACTACAAGGAAAAGCTAGAAAATCACGGATACAGTGATTGAAGGGGCTGTGGTGGATATATTAAATTGACGGCACTACAAAATAGCGCCGCCAGACCTATTCCATGGTCGCGTCAATTCACAATGAAGTTTGACTACGCTGGGGGCGAAAACTTTTGGAAAGAACAGACTTACAAAGGTGAAAAGAGTGAAAATTCACACAACCCGGTTGGAGTACGACCGTTCCAAATGCGTAACGTTACGAAGAAGACTCTTCGATTAAATTCAAATTTTCGACGTGAGTTGCATTTGCACATTGAGGGAGTAATTCTGCCCCGTACCAAAACCAAACAAACGGATGCAGGTCGTCAACTGACCTTGTCAAAGGTGAATGTTCGATCGATTTGTTTGCTAGCAATATTTTGAAATACTGTGACCTCTCGACGCTGATCATGGCATGAAATGACTTGAGGAGATTTAGTTCTTTTCTCATCTTCGCTGAAAGGCCTGTACAAAATTGAGACGAGACATAGAAGCATTAGAACGTTGCATAAACAGCGGAAGAGAACTGTGTTGGAACAATGTTATTGAAAATTGCGTAGTACCTGCAACGAAGTAAAACTTGGACGGCTACCCCTTTCTCTTTTTCCGCTCGAGCAGCCATGGCTTCGACCGGATACTTGGACACGGTCCGAGTTGTCCGTGGAGAAAACAGGATAAGATCGCGCGCCAGCTTTAGACAAGCTTGCGAAGCAGTTACCCGGGGTTCGGATTTTAATGAGAAGTTGGAGGTGCCAATTCCATTACCTAGTAGGAGTGGGAAACTTATACGTTGATGTGGAAGGATAGGACAGAAAATGAGGGGTAGCAGCAAATCTAGGATTTAATGTGTGTGTTGAACTCTTGTGTTTGAAGGATCACTTGGAAAGATTTAAATGAAAAGAAAGATATGGTGGACAGAGGCAATGCAAGCTTTCAGAGAACGCAATGTGGATCAGAGCCGTAGTTAACTTCACCGGAACCGGACAGATCATCAAAACCATCAAGTACAAGAATCCTCTTTCCTCGTTTCCGAAACCTTCCTACTCATCAAACCCGAATAATCTCCGGGAACCTGGCACACGGTGATCGAAAACCCTGTTCAAACATGCATGTCTCGGATAGGACATCACTCAGACTCCAACGAAGCCGCAATGACGAACTAGCAATATACACCCCAATAGGCAGCTCCTTAAACCTCCAAAACAACTCGAGCTGCTGAACAAATCTAACGGAAACAACTCGTTGAAAACTAGTCCACATTCAGAGCGTGGTGCTGGATCTCAGGGAGCGTGTTTACAAGCATTGAAACTCTCAGAAAATCCACCACGCTAAGCACCGCACACACTCTCTCTCTCTCTCTCTCTCTCTCTCTCTCTTGGCAACTGGCTACACGACCAGACGGGAAGGCAATCTTAATAGCGAAACCAGGATGACATTGGTACATGGAGCAAGAAGAACATATGGAACGCAAGAGAAAAAAGATGGTAGGATTGAGGGAGAGCGAGAATGAAGCCAGAGACACTGCCGAGTGAGGAGAAAGGGAGGGAGCTGCAACCCGCTTCTCACGCACCTACAAGCCCCAGTTTTCATGCATTCACTGCCTTTCAAAAACCCCAGCACTGCTACTCACTGCATTACCCCGGTCCAGCCCCATTTCCCACCCACCCGGCCCGATCCGACCCCGCCTGACCCGTTCTTTCCATTTCCCTCGTCTCCTCAAAACCAACACTGGTTGCCTCTTCCTAGAGTGTAGATCTGACGACAGGTGGGTTATAAATGGGTGCTAGGCGGACATCGCCTCTTTGTCTTGTGGTCTTGATGATACCTGTCCCGCCTGGATCCTGGTTTGTAGCCGTTGGGTTTTGAATGCCCTCAGGTTCCATCCACATTTTATGGATGGATGACATGCTCCCATTTAGATGAAAACGTTTCAGTCCATTCAGGATTTGCAAAGCTATTGTGCATTACAATTAATAATTTTTTTAATTGAAGGGGCTGCCGTACTACAGTGTTGAGTGTTCGTATATATATATATATATACATATTAAGTGATGTTAAATAGTGCCATCAAATCGATGTAACAGTAATATAATATACATATATATATATATATATATAAAGTGAGTATTCTCCTTAGATTAATTGATAGTGTAATTTTCAATTATCCGGTGAAATTGTGTGTTGCGATTAAATCCAATGACATTTAAAAGAAGTCAAACGTGAAAGTAGGACATGTTCCCAATTACGTATTTCTCCAGCAATATCCAACAATAACAATGGCAATCAATGAATTTTAGCATTGCACTGATTTGTCATATTTTAGTTCTGAGGAGATCCTAATATCTACCAACAAGTGAAATAAGAAAGTGAGATGATATGTGCTGAAATCATTTGACTTCCATGTGTGGAAACTAAGAATCAAGCAAATTTTTTATTTCAATATTATCATGAGTCTCAAGCTTAAATCCATTGTTTATACATCCAATAAAAGGCAATAGAATCAAACTATGATAATTTAGTGCGAATCACACATAAAAAGTTTCTTGTGGCCTTCAAAAACGACCCGTGATTGCACCACTCTAGCCATTTAGTATAGTAGTAATAAATGAATACGTAAACAGCTACTATGCTTTCGATTTAGCATCTACAGGGATATATATTTTATTATTTATGTTTATTCATATAAACTTGCACCCGAAACAATGGTTAATTTTTCATGATCGGTTCAAAATCATTTAAAATGCACCGAATTGGAAATTAGCCCTCTATTTCTCTCTCCCTCAGTGTAACCATGCATGCTTATTTTCAACACAATTTGTTGATAGTGTACTTGCAAGTAGCAATCGTTGGTGAAGAACAAGATAAAGGAAAACAAAACTGAGATGGTACTAAGGATCAACTTTTGATCACTTTCTATCGACAAATACATGAAGCCCCAGCCAAGTGAAACATTCTCAACAATACAACAAGACGATCTTCCACATTTTAGTCATTCCAGGGATTTCACCCACGGAAGTATCCTTCAATGCTGCCTAAGATCATTTGCCACACCATCCCGTCGAAACGACTGCGTGTCGAAGTCGCTGCGGAGCAGCACTTCACCAAAATTGAAACTTGAGCCTCGTACAATTCCAGAAACCTCGAAGGTTGCGTTGTCCTGGCTTTCGATCCAACTCAAGGCAAAGATGAACTTTTGAGCACATTTGCAAGCAATTGGTGCTGATTCTCGACAGCCATTGCAAGGAGTTACACACACGGGAAGAGTTGCGGTGCCACAGTTATAGCCACCCAGGCTCCTACAGAAACGGCCTCGCCTTTCATGAGAACACACCTCCCGAGTTATCAGATTGGCTGGCAGGGGAATATGCAGTCTCCGAGCTCTGGACGCAAAAGCAGGGCAAAACAAGGCTCAGCACGAGCTGAAATTAGAGCTCCAATCACAACACACAATAGGATTCGGAACCAGAGCCACCTGTTGAACATGGGATGCTGCGTATTAAAAGCCAGTCCAGAGAGGTCGAGTGCAGGAGAAAAGGGGGGGCCCAGTGTGGTGCGGCAACTGGAATAGCGGCGTTGCAACAGGGCCTCCTCATCACTCCAGACATACCTCCACGTGAGGGGCGATCCCTTTGTGTCTGAGCCAGCTTTCCGGAAGAGAGCGAGGTATGAGATCCAGCATGAGTCCAATTTGGAACAGACCTGGTGCCGCTCTGCGCAGATCCAGTGAGCCCACTCGTGCCGCTCAACCCCAGTTGCTAGATTATGAAAGCGGGTTCGGGGATTTAGGACACATAACGCTTTTGCTATCACCACCTTAGAACTCTTGATATTTGGTGGTATTATTAGAGGTAGAAACCATTCATGCTGGTTTATACTTTAAATGTTTTATTTTAAAGAAGTTATAGGGACCTCAAAAATGAACAAAAAAATATAATAGATTTTTTTCTTTTCTTTTCTTGTATAGAATACCATTAATGATTGAAAAGACCTATTAACTACCTCCAAAGTAAATAAATATTAGACTATGTGGCAAATACAATTTGTTGTAGGTTTGACTTCTTCATTATGTGATCCCGACTTATTGTAGAACTTGTATTTAGAAGAAGGAATAATATCACATACATATATGTCAACACTAACAATTACTAAAAAAAGAGAATAGTTAAATAGAAATAAATAAATGTAGGTAAATTATATAATACTTATAAATGTGTTGGATGGTCTAAAGAACATTTTTACATTACTTCTTAGTTAGATAATATATATAAAGGCAAAAATGAGGCATCATCACTCTTATCAGTACCTTTTTTTTTTTTAATTAAATTTTTTAAATTCTTAGCCTGGCTTTAAGAATCTCTTGTCTTCTTGACTTTGGAAATTATCATTCTATTTTTAATATTACAACTATCTTTGAGTGAATATTTATTCTTGTTTAGCAACACAAGAGTATATTGACTTTATGGTTATTTTGTGATTTATGTGCTTAAAAATGCAACATGATATTTAAAAAAAACTTTAAAGATATCTTTATAAATTATTGTACATAAGATGATACATAATCATGTGAAAAAAACCAATATAAAGATTTTACTTTTGTGCCTTAAATCAATGAAAGTTGTACATACTATATTTATATCTATTCTTAATAATATATATATATATATATATATCCTTTATTTATAAAAAATATTATTAATAATCTATTTAGCAAAAGAAAATATCTTAGTTCCTAAAATTTTATAATATAATATTTTACATATTTGAATTATCTCCAAATATTTATATTTATTAAAAACATATAAAATATTGAATAATAAATAAAAAATATTGTTCACCTTTTATACTACAATATTAACCTAAAAAATTCTAATCATTTATATAAATATAAATAATATCTACCATCTCAACTATCTCATTTTATTATTATTATTATTATTATTACTATTATTGTGATTTTATTGTTAAAATATAATTAATTATAAATAATTCGGTTATTATTTTTTAATTTTTATTTTTATATAATTTTCTAATACTTTGATGTATTCAGACTATGACTACTTCAAAATTAATTTTATGAAATTTAGAAATTATTTTGTATGAATTAGATAAAATATAATTTAACTTAATATATATTTATTTCTAAATATATATAATAAATATCAAATAAATATTCACTAATTAATAGATTAAATTTAGATAATTACTGAATTCAAGCTAATAGATAATACTTGAAGATCCACAAAAAAATACCTTCTTCTTTGTTTTACTCTATGCAATGATAATTTCTTAATTATGATTTATTTTACTTAGAAAATCAAACTTTAAATCAATGACCTTGTCAAATAAATAGTAGTGGCATGAATGTGAAGTAGAAGTAAACCAAGTGTATTATGTTGTGAAAAAAAACATCCAACCAATGTATTTACTAAGTCAATCAAATGCCAATATACAAGATTTGTCAATAATTATTTATAAACATAATCTTTGGTTTTAGTTTTAAAGATAAAAACTTTGAATTACAACATATAAACACTTATTAAACTTAGTTACATGCTCGAACTTAAAACATACTTTGCAAAAAACCAAAACAAAACAAAACAAAAATATTTTATAATGATTATCAACTTACTTGTTTCTTAATATTAGTAAATTTTTATTATGATTTAAACAGAATTAGCCAAATTATAAAAAAAATTGATCCACAAGTATATCTATTAATGCTTATACAATGCCATTTACATTTTTTAAGATTAAATATATTTTATTCATGCTCCAAATTTTTAATGCAACAACATCGTGTTAATTTTTTAAAAACTAATTATTTAGAATGTGCTTTAGAAATTCTTGAATTAATTTTTAATCTTCTAATTGAAGCTATTTTAAAAATAAAATATTTATCATATCACAAATTTTTATATAATATCATGTATAATCAAAAAAATAATAATATATATATTATACTTATAACACAGTAATGCTAGTCCTTGTCGTACAAAGTAGACTTAGATTACTTATAACGAAAAAACATATTAAAAGAAATGGTTTTTTGACCATGTCAATTCATATTGATTTGAATCCTATAAGAGATTTACTTTTGACATATAATTACTAAATTTAAAGCACATTGTAAGTATTATTAGATCTTATTATAGTTTTGGTTTAATTTGATTTAATTAAGTGAAAGAAATTATGAAATATGTAGTAAAAAAACTTACTTAATAAAATGATTATTATTTAAAGTGATCATTTTTATTACTACTATTTTGATTTACAAATAAATTGTCTTTTTTTTAAATGTATGTTATTATATAAATTAAACTATAATTTTATTTTTGCCACAATAGCATATATTATTCAGATGATTATAGATAGATAGAAAAATATAGCATATTTTCTTCAAAACGTGTGTAGGATTCCTTGCACATTCAAATCAAGTCTACAATTGTGTCATATGATCACAATAACTTTTTTATTATTATTATTTATTTATTTATTTTGAATATTACAGTAGAAGCATAATACAATGAAAACATCAAATCTACAAATCTAATGGATTTTAGAAAGCTTTCTCATGACTTACTTGTAACCTAATATACATGATGTCAAAATTG